GAATTGCGGGAGCATCCCCTTCCCAATCATCAGCCAATCGTGCGGCTGCGTCGGTTAGGAGGTCGTAGGTCAGGAGCTTTAGATGGTTTTCCATGGTTTTCCCATTCCCATGAATCAAGCAACCAACGCGGAAAAGGACTGCCTAGGGCTCCAAGTGTCTTTTGACAAGGTGTTTGGGGATGGTTTGGGGCCCAACAATCACGGCTCCGAAAAAGATCAAAAACCCAAGCCCACCAGGGCCCTTTTCTGAGTGTGTAATGACCCGCCTTCTCAGCATTGGTCCGTCGTCGATGTTCTGGATGTGAGCTGCCGGCCCTCGCTCGTAGGTTGAATGCACTTAACAACAGATGTTGCAATTATCCTTATGACACCTTTCACTTTTATGTCCTTTCAACCTCTGCTCGAAATGATCTGGGTCCGATCGCCTCCGATCGCCAAATACCTGGAGAGCTATGTCCCATGAGCCGGCAGCGCGTCAAGGGCGGATAGCAACAACTGGCGGGCTCAAAGCGTTCAAAATGACAGCAATGTCGAAGCACACAGAGCACAAGTCAACATGCTTGGGCAGCTCGCCAATCAATCTCAATAATTGCTCAAGCTCTGCTCTATAGTGATCGCGGCAAGGGTGATTCACCAGGTCTGCAAGTCGGGCCCGTCCGCCTTCGTGACTTACGCACAACCGAATCCCATGTCATGGATCGCGGATCTGGCCGATCTGCACCTGCCTGTCTTGCGGCGTGTGCTTACACACGTTGCGCCACGCCGGCACCTTCAAAGTTCCCAGGTCTGAATCCAGGAAAGTTAAGTTCTCAACACATCTCCTCCCGCTTCAAGAGCGGCATCGCTCGCGCGGGAGTAAAAGAAGCCACCCGCAAAACTCACTTGGCAGGCTTTGGGCAAGAAGTGCTGTTGAACATGCACATAGTGAGCTTGACATAGCTTGACAAGCGCCCCAACTGCACCTTGAATCTTTGTCAGTTGTTCAACGTCCATTGCCCCTTGCGGCGATCAGAACTGAGCCGACCAAGACTGTTAACCTCTCTTGGAAGGCCTAAGCGAGCACCAGGAAGGGGTTGGCTAGAATGATCCCAGAGTTTGTAGTTTGTTGCCGCGGCCATGAAGCCCATTGCAAAAGGTCACGTCACAGGCTTGGCCCACAAAGGCAACATGGTAGACTGCTTTCCCATGGCCATCACGCGAACTTCATTGCTCCAGCCAGCTGAGGGCCCGAGACAAAGGGTCCTTCTCGAGTGGACTGTCTCCTTCAGTCGCCACAAACTTCGCGCTCATACGCTGCAACTCAGCTGATGACAGCATCTCCACTTCAAAATCACATCCTTGATTGGCCCTGGATCTATTATCAGATCTGATACATATTGACCTTCAGCTTACACCACCTCCTCCTGAGCGTTCTGAACATGAGTCCTGAACGCACAGGGATCTGATCTGGGGATCCTTTTCTAAGTGGTTCCTTTTTCAATCCCTTGGAAAAAGGATTGGCAGAGTGGGCCCAAAATCTTGGCATCCACTTTTCCGACTTTTCCAAGATTTAGCAAGCCTTGGTACCGGTCGGCAATTATCACTGGGAGGCAAAGCCACCTTTTCCATGGATGGTGGTACAGACTGGCAAGCTGTCTGTGCACCATCCGCAATGATGTACCAGCCATCGGGAGTGAGGGCCAAGCCCTGAAGAGATTCGGGCTCCGAACGTACAGGGTCAAAAAGGATTCGCTCGGCATGCTGCGTTCAGAACGCAAGTTTTTGAAACACAGGTTCTGAACGCCAAAACTCTCGAGCCGAGTGATCTAAGCTTCGGAGGCACTTGGAGCCCTAGCGACCTTTAAATGGTCTTCACTGCCGTTTCTTCTTTCCATCCTCGGCTGGAGACGTGGTTGTCACACCGCAGGCTTTTTCAATCTGGGCTTCCCGGTGGGGCCGGGGCACCGAGACACCAGTCGCTTTGGGTGTCTCGTGAGAGAACATGGAAGCGTTGGAGACGTGGAACTCTCTGAGACCGACCGACATGGTGTGGTGGCCAAATAAATGTGAAAAAGTATGCGAAAAAAATGAACAGCCATATGGTATCTCCTGTGTTCTGATATGCTCTGATGGTTTTAAGACTGGAGGAGCAGTTTCTTGGCACCAGAGAACAAATACTGTTGACTGTAGTCGGTTGAGGTTCTAAATTATCCGAATGGTGTGGAAGAGTGCCGCGTGAGTGGCACGAGGACTGATAGCTTCCAACATGCTTCCATGATCAAGCTGGCAGTTGCGAGAGCTCACAGCTGTCATGCCGAACTACTATGTCTGATCATCCAAGCAGGTTGAGGAAAGAGGCCTTGAAATCGAAGTGGAGTTCACCTCCTCTTTGCTATTCGGATTTACTGGTCATCCAAGATCGGGGCGGATTGTTCACCATGTAACCATGGATTTCAGGGAGTGGGCGAACAGCCCTGGCGCCAGGCCAGGACGTCGCACCGGGCCTCGCTGTCCACCCGAGGCAGCTCGGTGAAACACTGAGGTTTCGTTTCGTTCTGCGGTTCGATTGGAGCCACGGGACCTCGGTGATCGATGGAACCAAGGTTCTGACCGTCTCTCCCTTCATTTGTATCACTGAAGGATCTAAACCAGGCAAGGACTCGACCGCCCCCTCCCAGGTCCGGATCAGTTCAGCTGTTCGCTTCTTGGAAAGCTGTTCGGCTGGTTCGCATGGGACAGATTCGAGACTGACACCTGCAGTTGCATTGGAAAGGTGTGTATATATAAATGAAAAGCACACCTGGACCATTCAAGGGGTGTGCAATGGAGATCCATAATTAGTAGGTGTAGGGTAGTCCATTGGGCGCCCCTTGGATGAAAAGCACCAAGTCTTTTGCTCTTCGTGGCACGAATCGTGGACTGAGTCGTGGTGCGTGAACCAACTGCCATCCGCGAGTACTACGATGATGAAGTCTTCTCCGACTTCTCGGTTCTTCATTTCCACCTCGACCTGGATGATCATCCACCTCTGCCACCTCATCCGGCGGGGAAAAAGGATTCACGGCGGCATGCTGCCGCCACGGTGAAACGGTGCCTGGCGGGCCACGGTGACGGGCCACGGTGACGGGCTACGGTGATGTGACACGGTGTGCAGCGAGTGACGCGAGTGACGCGCCACGAAAAGGGAGGTGTGACACAACCGCTTCAAACCCCCCAAAGCTGGTGGCGTTGGAAGGTGCTTGTGGTCCTAGCCCACTGAGTCCAAGTTTAGCCAACTTGGAATCTTCACTTGTGTAGCTTTGGAAAACCAGCCACGCAGGGGTGATCTGAAGATCCGGAGGCGGAGGAGGCGCTGGTACTTTGTTCAGCCTTTGAACGGAAGGTGTGGTTGATCAATCCACCACCCAGACCATCCATGTATGGCAGATTTACTCATATTGGGGTGGTTTCAGGGGTCAATGTGTAAGTATGCCATGGATGACCTGGGCCATTTGATGCTTTTTCAATGTGTATACATAGCCCGCAGCCCGCACCCGGACATGGGAGAACGTTCGGGGCACGTTTGGTCAACGCCGACATGAAAACAAGGGAGCAAACATCCATGAAAATCCACTCGGAGCTTCCCTTGAGCTACCTCATTGCAGAGCATCTGCCACGTAGAAAGAACCTGAAAACTGGAATGGACCAACCACATGTGGAGGTCTAGCTGGACTGGTGCCAGGGTTGGCCAGTTCCAGTTTCCAAGCCTGGACCAGGACCTTCACATTCTGTTTGTACCCTGCAAGGACGCACCGGACAGTCAGACTGACTGGTTCCATGTGAATTCCATTCCGGTGACCCTGGACTTTCGCATGCACCATCCAGTTGGCGCGGGTCCGGTTCTTCAAAGATGTTTCGTCAACACTATAGAGCTTTCACATGGGTTCCTGACCATGACCCCCATGACCCTCCTGGCACCCTCCCTGGTTCATGCCAAAGCGCGCGTGTGCCACCCACCCACGCCTCGACATCGAGCTTATTGTCTCTTCGATGGCGTCCCCATCAGGGAGCCTCCCGGTGGAAAAACAACATCAAATGCCAGCACCGGACTTCACAGGTCACCAATTGAGACCTCCCAGTTGGCATGGAAGAGGGTCTCCCTCTTGAATACACACCCAAATGATCTTTCTTGGGATCTAGCCATGGTCTGGCGTCTCCAAATTTGGCGAGCAACTCAGGAAAAGTCCAACTATGTAAGAATCCACTTCTCGGATGGAGCCAGTTCTGGAAGCCATCGCTCCCCATACAACCACCCAAAGACGCCACACCCAGTGTCATGGAGAATCAAGGTGGAATTCTTTGGGGGTTCTCAAAAAAAACAGTCCGGTCCCTTCCAAACACTTTCGATCTGACTATGACCTGTCATGAACCCATCTTCGCCTCCACAAGCCCTCAGCTTCGTCACCGGTACCACTTCGAGGATCCAAACACCAGTCCAGCAAGGCTATCCTGATGACCCCAAAAAAACACAGAGTTGTAGAGGAAAATGGTGTGAATGTTGAGACTCCATGAAATGACTCTGCCTGGGGGGCCCGGGAACATCGGTGCTTTCGAGGGTTCTCTGGAGGTGAAGGACATCGAAAAACCGATTTGACACGAAATTCGATTGAGGTGTGTGCTTTGGAGACCAAAAAGGTTCCACCATGAGCGCCACCCAGCGGTTTGGAAAGAACTGTGAGAAAACCAGCACAGTTCAGATCTTGCCGAAAGGGTGAAAGGATGGAAAAGGGTGCCAAGGACTTTCCCTTTAATACATCCTGACCTGACCGCCCTCACTAATCTGACTCCAAGATCCATAGGGTTTTTCCTCTGAGGCCTCCCCGAGTCTCTCCCCTCTTGGCACTTCCAACCACGCTTCTATACGATCAAACCCCTCTCATCCGATGAATCCCTGTCCCGCGCCTTTCACGTACCAGAACCGCTCCCAGAACCGCTTCGCGGCCTCCGATGGCGCCGACGCTTCTCGTCCTTCCTTCGATCCTTCACCCAACCTGCAGCCGACGCGCGCGCGCGCGCGTGCGGGGCACGGGTGGTGTGGTGCGGGGCGAGCGCCTTTCGGATGCGTATGACGGAGTCCAGTCGGAGGGCGGTCGAAGCAAACCTGGTTCCGACCCGTTCACAAGAAAAGCAAACAGAGAAAGACCTGGTTTTGTTGGCATTTTCCAGAACACAGTGAAATGCGGTCTGTAAGACCTGTAGGGACTGGCCAACAAGGTCGTGAGATGATCATGGATCAAAAATGATTAGACCCACAAAACCACCTTAAATGGGCAATTGTTTGTTGACCAATACATGGCAATAGTGCACTTCGAGAGTCTGCATCAAATCCAGGAACAAAACACATTTTAATCACGTATGTCTAGGAGTCTAGCTTATTGGGTAAACCTGTAAGTCGCGTCTGGTATGTCCATCCTCAGCCATCCAAATACTGGGACCACTCTCCAAAAAGCAAGCCAGGGGACCTGATTCACCAGTGGCGGCCCAAAAAGGATTCAAGCCTGTAGCATGATTGATTTCACTGGCTTCGATACTGCGTGGAATTGTTTCAACTGACCAAGAACTTGCCCGACTCTGCCACTCTGGAGGTGTGAATTCTCCAAGAACTTGTGTCCACCAATGATCTTCCAGAAACAGATGGATGTCCTCGTGCCTGAAGAATGCCTCGATGGTGCTGGGATCTTCTCCAGGCTCATTGGTTAGATGCTGCGCCGTGCGCCGCATGCTGCCCGGTGGACGACCTTTGCATCCTGTCACCCTCAACTCACCAGACACCGCACCGGCCGACCTACGGTACCTACGGTTGCTTGGCAAGGAACGCGAGACCGAAGAAGGACCACTTCGGTCGGTCCTGACCCGTTCGCGACTCGGCCTGTCTTGACCCGTGAACGAAAGGCTTCGCGCTCTGGGTGCCTCCTCCCCTCCACCCGCCCGATCGGTGCTTCGCCCGATCAGGTTGGCGCCTCTTCGGTGGAACCCCAGGATAAGGATTTCCGCAGCCTTGGTGAGCATCAGATAAGCAGGTTTAATGCAGATAGGCAGATAGGCAGATGCAGGAAGTTCAGGGGTCATCGATTCAGAAATCGTCTTGCTACTCGACAGATTTGGTGTGCCCATTCGTGAAATGAAGAGGGTTCCATCTGAAGATGCCAGGCATCTCTGGAAGTGTTTAGAAGGATCGCCACGTGATGCAGATGTCTGACTTCACCACTTTTCTGGTTGGAATCCATAGGAATCCACCAGATCCGCTCTCCTATCGCACCTCTCTACGCAGGTGTTTTTCTCTCGAAACCCACCGCGAATAAACACCGGGGCGAGTGAATTCGCGCAAGCGGACGGAGGGTTCAACGAAAACAACAAAACGAACAAAAATGAGGACCTGTGGGTTCAATATGCTTCAATCAGCCCCTTCATAAAGGTTGAAAATAGAAATATCAAATATCTGAAACCATTCAAGACCAGTGAAGTGTTCTTAGCGGGGGGTCGGTCCGCAGAAAAAACAAAAAACAATTCCCCAACCCGAACGACTGGGAGCTCGACTGCTGGGCGGGACGCGTTGACCTAAGGCCAAAACAAGAGATCTGTCGAGCTGTCGGAAGCTGCAGTTCCCACCCCTGTTTCCATGTGGATGAAAAAGGAAGAAGTAGATGGTAAATCAGCACATACATGTTCCTGTCATCCATTCCACTGTATTGGCGCTTGGTGGTTCAATGCTGTTTCACCAGTGGAAGAACAACCCATGTTTACCTACCCGAGTTCGGTGGCCCACCTTTAACCCTAGACAAAAGCTTGATCCCATGGAACCCCCTCCAAAACTGCCACCTCGACTGTCCCACCAGAGCCCGCTCGTGGGAACCGTCCTTGGGGATCGTCGCGGCTCGGGCGAGGGGAAGCTCGAGGGAAGCACACGTGAGGCTCTTCCAAGTCAGTCAAGTGACATCGTCCAAGTCAGTGACTTTGGGACATCACCCTGAAGTCCCGAGCCGGTCTGCCCCACACCGATGGAAGTCGCCCCGCGGCTTTTTTCGGGATCGTTGTTCCACCAAGCAAAAGATCGATCTGAAGGTGGTCCGTGGGACCCCGAAACAAATGCCAGACTGTCTGAGACTACCAGGACCCACCCCACCTTGGCATTGGTGGGACACTTATGTTTCGAAGGGCCGCTTTAACATAGATCGAACAACGTTGGCAGGTCCTGGTACAGAAAGGATCATGGAAAACATCAAAAACGTATCATGAGTGAAGCTTCGAAGCCTGCAGCTGAGAAAGAGTAGGATCAACTGGTCTTAGCCCACTTGTCCATCAACTGTGCAGAGCATATATGATTCACATGATATATAAAACTCTGGGGACAGAAGCTCCTATCGCATCTCTTTTCCAGCTGTTCAAGATGTTGGCTACCACAAACAAAAGCACAACATCATATTGTTGTTGGTGTCTACCGGTTCTGCTCTGAAATGTTGAAGAAGCATTCTAATTGACGCAGGCTGTGAGAAGCTCCACCCCGGCGTCGGGTCTGCTGAATCCCAAATGCTGCGTCGGGTCTCGATGCCAGGCGTCGATGCTGATCGGTGCTGATCGATGAACCAGACAGGCGAAAGGTCAAACGGCTTGAGTTGACTGGATAAGGATGAAAGGTTTGTGAAAATTCAGGCGATCTGTCAGGTACCTGGCACCAGGAGTGGCGCCAGGAATCTGACGTGGTCGTGGCATGTTGGCAAGCTTGGCCATGTCTTGACCCGCCATCCGCTCGGCGCGGAGAGTGGCCGTGTCTCAAATGAGGGGGCCCCTGCTGTCGACAGCAGAGAACGCGTCAAACGCACCTAAAGCAGGAGCGAAAGCAGGGGGAGATCCCTCATTCAGAGGCCACTCGAAGATGAAACTGCATGCCTTAGCAACCTAAAGCAGCCTCCTTGGGAGGGTTCAGTGGCGAGGGCCCGGCATGGAAATCGGGAAGGACATCTCACCCAAACCATCCCAAACCCTATACTGCAAAAGGACATCTCACTCACATCTCAATCGTGAAGATCTTTGAGGGGCCATGCTCATCTCAAATCGACTCTAGGAAGCATTCACTTATTCGAATCTCATCCATTTGATTGACTCCCTCGATCTCTGCTCCATCCTCACTCTCAATCTCCACTCCTTCTTCAACACCCACGCGGTCCACGAAGATCGCGTCTTCAAACTGCTGCTCGAAGCTCAGGGGTCCCTCTTCTACCTCCCACGGGATCGTGCATATCCCAGAACATCCAGTTGGATGATGGGGAGATGGAACCCCTGGTGCTGGAACATCCAGTTGTCCCATGTTGTCCTCAAAAAAACAAGATCCTCAGAAGGTTCTTTTTTAATATAGGGGTCTGGGGGTGTTTCAAGGTTCACACTCTGTGAAGCAAAAGCGACATGAAGTGAATAGACAATGGAACTTCCATCTGCCCAGGGCGAACCCTTGCAACATGCTCCACCATACAGGCTTAAGCGATTTCGGGGAGGGGGATCGCAAATGAGCGGGGCAAATGGAAAGTTCAGCTTGATGTTGCATTTGTCTAGTTGTAGCTGCAGACGCGGCGGCGGCTTGAAACGGTGCCGATTTCTGATAAATGGAGTCTGAAGACCTTTCATCTCAAGGACCAAAACTGAACCCTGTCACGGCTTTGGGCTGAAGATACTCAATCTCCAAAGAAATGGCTGTAGAAACTCCTGACCCTCCACCCTCAAGTGTTGACCAGTCAGAACAAAAGATGGGTAGAACAAGAGATCCGCTGACGTTCTGTAATGCCTCAAGGTGATACCTCGAGGGTGATGGCAACATGTGCTACGAAACACGCTCCATTGCTGAGTCTGCCTCAAAACGCTGTTTCCTTCCGCCTCGGACATGGGTCCTGCTCAAAACGAACATTGAGCTTTTCGTTCGCTCAAGCAGCCTGACCCCCATCCACTTGGAGGGTGTCCCTGTTCTGAGACGTGCAATGTGGTGTTTTCTTGATGGAAAATCGATTAAAATCGTTACAAGATCTTGATCTTCCCGGATTGCAACTCTGACTTGGCACCTCCGCATGGCGGCTGGCTTCGAAGTCGGCTTCGTCCACCTGTATGAGCTTTCGAGTGAAAAGCCTGGCGGAGAAGAGAACGGAGAGCAATTTTGGAAGTGCCGTTCCGGAAAGAACCTGAAAGTTTTGGAAGGTTCCAGCTCCAGCGTGGAGGATGTGCTGCAGTTTGATTCATGGTTCGTGGGACTTGGGATTTGGAAGCCATGCCCCAGAAACGGAGCTTCCAGTCCCCATCAGGAGAGATACAGCTATTCAAGAGTGTGGAAGTGCTTGACCCCGTTTGGAGCAGCCTACAACAACGGTTAGAGCCGGATTCGGAAACTAATCGGTCGGATTCGGAAACTAGGGTTCTGAAACTGGGGTTCTGAAACTAGGGTTCTGAAACTTGGATTCTGAAACTGGTATTCTGAAACTGGGGTTCTGAAACTAGGATTCTGAAACTGGGGTTCTGAAAATAGGATTCTGAAACTGGGATTCTGAAACTTGTATTATGAAACTGGAAAGTCAGATTCTGCAACTGGTATTTTGAAACTGGAAAGTCAGATTCTGCAACTTGCCTTCTGAAACTTGCAACTGGTGATCTCCACATCATGCAATAGCGTGTGTGCCTGTGACATCACCTTCGAAGCACATCCAAACCAACGTCATTAGCCCCCCACCCAACCCCCCCACCCCCCAACCCCCCCTTGTCCCCATCGTGTGATCTCGACATCCCTCATCATTCACAAAGTTGCGGAATCCTAGTGAGGGAGTCCACAATGTTGCGGAATCCTAGTCGCGGAACGCCAGTTGCGGAATCCCAGTTGCGGAATCCTAGTTGCGGAATCTTGACAGTTGCGGAATCTTGACAGTTGCGGAATCCTAGTTTCGGAATCCTAGTTGCGGAATCCTAGTTGCGGAATTCTAGTTGAAGAATCCTAGTTGCGGAATCCTAGTTTCGGAATCCCAGTTGCGGAATCCCAGTTGCGGAATCCGACCAAACAGTTGCGGAATCCTACTTGCGGAATCCTGCGCAGTTGCGGAACTCAGCTACAACAACTCCTGGGCATCGGAGAAACCACTCCGAGCCTTCATCCCATACTGCTTTTGGCCTAATCATCTGACCCTTAAGACTACCCCCAACATCCCCTTCTCGATCTCTCACTTGCACAAAAGTTGGGCCAGCACGTGGCTCTTGCGCAAGCCTGAAAAGACCAGGAACAACGCAGCTGTTCTGTGGCCCAGAAACCCGTCCAGGTGCCCCAAGTCACGCCCCGTCCCCGCCGGGCTCGGTGGGATCGTGGAGTGCGGCACCTCCGCATGAGACGGACGGAGACCTCCAGCAGCTTCATTCTTCTTCACGCTCGGCTCGACACCATGGCGTTCGGGGGGCCGGCGGAGAGACGGTCCTTGAGCCTTGAGCCGAGATCCAGAAAGCAGCGAGTTCGCTGGGAACGCTGGGATCTCTAGGAGAAGTGAAGATCTTTGGAAGACCAAAGAGTCATCTTCGAGGAACGTCCCAACACCCCCCAAGGTCCGGGTGGAGTTGGGTATAGACTTGGTCAACTAGGAATTCTTGTGACAGCATGTTCTGGGTGCTGAAGACTCCTCAAGAACATCGTGGGCTGGGTAGACAGGATGCTCCTGCTTTGGTGGAGTGTAAGCTTCGATCCATTGATCCTGGACCCAACGAGGTTCCGTCAGCTTCCCCATACTGGGTCTTCCGGCGCCGACGTCCCCAAGTCAGGCACGTCATCGGCCTTTTGGTCGAAAGAAAAGCGACCAAGTCGGCAGCGGCTGAAGAGGAAGATATGTGTTCCCCCCAAAAAAATATTCCAATATACTTAAACATACTTAAACTGACCTTAAAACATCCTATAAAACCTGTTGGACCCTTGGCTTTTGCAGTACCAACCACCCAAAAAAAGGATTGTCCAAACTCGTCTCACAACTAAGTGACAAGGGCCTTAAGGGAAGGGGTTCGCGGAAGGGGGTCCTGGTCAGCTTCCATGATTGGAGGGGGGGGTATGTTATCAATCAGGACAGAACTCTGGATCGCGACTTGGAGTTCTCTGAAATCCGATTGGTGCACAGTTCAGGTCGCCTGAGATCGTGAGAAAGCACACCAAAAAGGATGGAGGACAGAAAAGAGGGCCAATTCGACACAGTTCATGATTGAGGGTCCACAGAAAGTGGAGTGACTGCATGTTGTTTGCTTCCTTCCATCAGGTCCCAGGTTTTGCCGGTCCAGTAGATGGTCAACTCTAAGGACTGGATTTTACCACTGTTGAAGGAAGATATCCTCATCCAGAATGTGGAAATAGTAAAGTTCGCAGATTCAAAGTGGTGTAGGAGCTCTTCCACCACGAGGTGGAAGCAAAAACTCCGTTTCGTTTAATGCGGCCTCGTACAGCTTGGCCCACCAGAAGCCCGAACAATGACACTGATATCTGATAGTTCCTTCATGTTCCTTCCTGCATGTCCATGCGTCCTTCCACCTGGGGATGTCATGATTGGGAATTTGGGGCATCCAAATCCCATCCAAATGAAATCCATAAAGGATTTTCGTCCGTCCACCCCTGCGTACCCTGCGCCTCCTTCAGAGGCGCCGTGGTCACCGAGCCCGCCTGAACATGTCGGAGATGCGCATGAACGGCGAACGCCAGGCGGCCAGGCAAAACGGCGAGGAGTTCCGTGTCAGTCCGTCCCAGTGCTTGTTCAAATGATTCAACCAATTTCAAACAGGCTGCAGCATGAGATTGGCTCTTGCTCTGGTGGAGGGCTTCTCGCAAATTCTACCGTGTTTTCGGGAAGCGAGCTGTTTCACGTATCTACATTCTTAGATGGATGTGTGCGGAACGAAAAAAAGAAAGCCCCTGGAACCCGTATGCTTGACAGGATCCTATTTGATCTAATTACATGTAATTATATCGGATTTTTCGACGTGCTACAAGTCTTGAGACGAATCATGTTTGCTTGTGTTCAAAAAACCCCTTGAAGCTTCCCGGGGCTGTAAAAAAGAAACTCCAAACAGCAAACGAACCTTCCCCCGCTCGCCAAGCATACCAATCTGCAAAATCATCACCACTCACCCCACCTCTCGGTCGCGGTCTCGACCAGTCGCTTTCAGCGGCCCCCCAGTCGCACCGCTCCGCCCTCCGTTCCCGCTCCCTCCGCCTTTGTTCTCCATCCCTCGGAAGACCGCACCTTCGGCACCGTAAAGCTCCCAGCAAAGAGTCGAGCCTCGATGTGGAGATCAGATTGCCCAAAGCTCACGGCTCGCGGACGCCATCCTGTTTGGGAATCTGTTAACGAGGTCTTTTAAGTATGCTGTTGGGCCGTACGGTGAACCATTTCGGAGGGTGTCCAAAGTGGGCATTCTGTCGCTGCGGAATGCTCGACCCTCACCCACTGGAACAACGGATGCGGAATGTTTAAGATGCTTGACGTGGATTCAATCCCCTCAAACAGAAGAATTCGAAAAACACTCCATGGCCATTGTGCCCTCTTAGGAGAAGATAGGATGCACACCCCTTGAGTCAATGGAAGACCAGTCATACGACTGGCCCAATCAAAAGGTGAAGCATGGCGAAGCATGGCGAAGCACGCAAGCACCTGAGGCTCCAGAAGATCCTAAGGCTCCAGGCCACAACTTTTGGATCACTCTTACCTTGAGTTTGTCCACCCTGGCAGCCGGAATGTCCAGGTCCGAATGCACTTTCTGGGGCCTGCACTTAGATGAGAGCAGGGTTGAGCCCCCCAAATTGCTTCCTTTAGCCCCCATCACCAAGAGCAGGTGTAGAAAGAAATCAATCAATGACGCATTCGAGCCAACTGGTCTCTCGTGATCACGTTGAACTCTGGGTGTGTCACAGTGGGAGAGATATGACTCAGTGCTCCCAAGAACCCGTCTTTCAAGGGGAGGAAGCCCTCAAGATGTGAAAGCGCTAACAAGCCACCCATCATTCCAACACGTTAAAAGCCTTGAAAAAAAAAAAAAACATGCTAATTACTAATAGCATCTAATAGCCCTCAATATACAAGTCTAAAAACAAAATAAACATATCCACTGCTGGCGACTGAAGTCTGTGAACTGAGTTGGACGGACCCGTGCAAAGACGCCTCGCTGGAAACGCCTCGACGCGGCGTTTCACGTCGTGGCGCAACACAAGCTAAGCTCGACATGACCGTCGAGCTGGAGCCATTGGGTGGGTCCCGCTGCGCCTCGAAAGAGAAGGAGCGGCTCTTGGACAACCTCAGAGCTCAGAGCGCGTCGCTCGCATCGGCTCCACCCAGACACGACCTGTCTGGGAGTGCCGGACCCATGGAGTGCCTGGGAACCATGGGGAGTCCATCCTGCAGTCTGCTTGCGCCCATCTGGGGGACTTTGTTCTGCTTGCAACCGACAACCCCGTGGCAGTCCCATTCGTAATTAGGTGCTGCGGCTACCGACTTATATGGCAAGCGCCAGAGCAAAAGAACTAATACTGCTTGACCCTTTGGAGTATGGCAGGATCCATTGTCTCATCACTGACAGGTTAGACTGAACATGCTCATGTGCCCGTATGTCTATTCCCAGCAATTTCCCCACGGCCCATCTTGGTGGATCCAGTGGTCATCACGCGATAATTCTGTGACTGGAACCTCGTTAGGCTCCCCGCGCAAGGTCCAAACGGATCAGAAGGGAATCACTGGAAGATCTGGTCATATCGGGCCCCCGTCCACTGGACCAGCCAAGTTCATCCGTGGGTTCATGTATGCTCCATGTATGCTCCATGTATGTTCCATGTTACCATCAGTTTTCAACGCTCGAAACCCGCAGTTCAGTTGGAAGAACGTCCCCTCGCAGTTGGCACACCCAGGCAATCCAGAATCACTGGCAGATCGCCTCAACGATTGACCACTCATGACCCTTCACCCTGAAGCGCGAACCGTGCCGTTCCGTACATGCAGAGAATCAGAAGCAGCCTTTCGTAAATTAGACAATCCGGGCCCTCTACATTACTCTACATGGCAAGGGGCTCTTTTGCGGTTCAGGTCCAAAGCATTTCAGGGAAAGGGCAAAAGGACAACGTCGGAGGAAAACCGGTCCCAATCCATACACATTGCTATAACTATGCAACACATACTAAACACCAACGGAACTTCTATGTACCCTAGAAGTCCGAGGTTGCGTTTAAAATGGTTGATCTGGTTTTGTAGTGTAAAGCTGTATAGCCCTTAGTAAAACATAGTAAAACAGTTCTTCGGGATTCCGGCGATGAAAAATGGCCCCGACTTCGACGCAACCGCTTGGCCGGACAAGCCCCCCCACGCAGCGATCTTGGGCTTCGATTCCTCCTCACACATGGCGATTCGATCCCTCGACACCCGTGTCCAAGGAGGCGGCGTGGTTCCCGACGCGACCGGAGTTAGTGGTTCCCGAGCTTCCTTCGGTCGGTTCACCAAGGTTTTAGGTCCACTGGCTGCATGGGGCATTGAGATGGATGCATATGGTTGCATATCGGTGTGACTTTCAAAGTGAGAGCAAACAGTGCAACAACTGAGGTCGAGCGCACCCAATTGACCTTGCAAAACTCCCTTGTGGGTTTTCTCCTTGCGACTTCTCGCAAGGTCTCTGACTTTCGTGGTTTTCCTCAGTGGCTTGGCACGCCTTGGTTTTCAGGTTTGCGGGATTTGGAGACGATTCACCTCAATGCGTTGACACCCAACTCACCTCGTGAGAAGGTGGATCCTTTGGTCATCTTTGGGTGTGTAAGAGGGAGGCTCCCCTTTCTTGCCTGGCCCCAGTAGAGTGGGTAGACGGGTCCATGTTCCTTGTCGAACTGGGAGGTCTCCCTACATGTTTAGTGGAATTAAGATGAAACTGCATGGAGCTTGACAGATTGTAGCTATATAGATAGCTAGACATATGCACCTTGAGATCATCCTCAAGACAAGCTTCTGACATGAAATACCGTAGGTCCGTCCTCGGCCTCGACCACATCCCACCTAGGTGTTTCCTCGTGGCAACAGGTGTCCTGTTATAGTACCTCTTAGGGTCGTAACACCATGTGTTTGGAAGGTCTTCATAGACGAACACCTTTCAGTCGTTGGGCACCGAGTGAAAGGATACGGACTCATCGCATCCTGGTCAACGCATCATTTCGGGCGGCAAATCCCGTCGGATACCCCCCCTCTTTCCTCGGCATCTTCCTGCAAACAAAAGAACTGAACCCAACACAAAACCCTGGACTTCTTTCAAATCGTCTTTGGACCCTGACCGGAACACGGGGGTCGTGAAAAAACACCCCGTGCCCGAAACACCTCTTCCTGGGATTCTCCGTGAAAACAACCACCTGAAAGCGCGCACGAAAGCGCACCGCCCGTGCGCCCCAGGCGTGCTGCGCCAGTCCTCCAGTGATCGCCTGACGGGGAGGCCGTGATGATTGAGAGGCGGGGCGCGGGGCGAGAAGAGCTGCAGCAGGTGGTGATGATGATGATGCTGCTGATGATGATGATGATGATGCAATGGTTCAAAGGAAGAGCATAGACCTGGAGGTTGCTATATAAGGAAAGCAGGGATTCAATGATAATGATTTCAGATGATAAACCACCGGGCTGGAATCCTGCTAGGATTCCAGTACGGACATGGTGAAGGGTCAACTACCCACTTGTGGGAGATGACACCAAACTCAAACTTGACTTTCCAATTCAACAATGATCTATCAGTTCTCACAAAACAGGGCCCTGCAGTCTAGAGTTCCAAAAAGGTTCCAAGTCCTTCGAACGATTCGTCGTCGTACGTCGTGTGAAGATGTTCGAAGACCAAAAACCCTTTGATCCCCTCAACCAAACTAAAAAAAGAAACCGTTGGTTCGCTAAACCTCCCAACCTCCCAAACCCCTCTCTCCATCTCCATCCCCACCGGGCACCCGCCTGGGCTCGGAGCGCTGCACCGAGTCCTCCGAGGAGGTCTCGCCGCTCATGGACTCCATAGACCTCGGGCGGACGTCCATGGGGACGGTCCGTGGGAACCACCGGAAAGGAATCCGAAACCAGGGAAGATTCTAAAGAGAGAGAATATAAATATGTCATAAATATGTCGATATGCATACATCTCATAAATTCTGGAAGACGTATGGAGAAAAAACGAACCGTTTTTACTCGTATGGTATGTTATGGTCGGCTGCGTCATGCCAAGAGCTGAAGATGAAGATATGCATCTTTGTTCTAGAATGGTCTAGATGGTGTTCATGGGAGACAGGCCTGATGGTTCCCAACATGAAATCACATATGATGTCACATATGATGTCACATATGACATGTTCAAGTTAGATCGATCAATTTGTTGCAAATTCTTCTAGTCTGGGAAAGAAAGGGTGCATTGCCCAGACCCAGGATTTCCCAAAACGTTTGGTAGCAGATGTCTGCTTTTTTCATCATGTGGACCGAAAACTAAAGCCAAGTATCCCTACCAGTCTAGTCGGACTTCCTTGAGTACTGTTCTTGCATGACCAGACCAAACCCTGCTTTGGGCTGTTCGATTTGCTTCAAACCGGTTCCGAAGATGGGACCTACGAGCCATGGGTTGAGTTTTCAGGAGACGGTGTTACATTTCTGTATCATTTGTCGATACAGTAGCTTTTTCAGCTCAAAGTGATTGATTGTTCCAGAAGCAGTGGCTGTAGCTGCAAGGGAGGCGTCAGCACAGGAAGGGCAATGCTCACGGAAGCCAGACTAGCTGCAACAGCTCCGTGTTTGAAGAACTGAAGAGTGGACCAAGAAAACCACCTGGAACCGTATTATCTTCCATCATCTTCCCATCTTATGACACTGTCTCCCCTGCTGGACCCTAGAAATCTCCCGCCACCCCCCTCTGCTCGACCCGAAATCAAACGAAACTCCAACTGATCCGATTGCACCTCTCTGGCAATCCATCTCAAAGACCCAACGATCAATCTCAAAGCATGCAGCCAATCTAGTCACTCGGACACCAATCCTGTGCCCACCCACCGCGTGACGAAGAAGAATAGCTTCCAAATGACCCATGGTTCCCACGGAAGTTTCACCGGCCAAAAACACCACGGCACCGGCAACACAGACAGAGCTTCACCGGCACCACGGGTCGCGACCCGTTCAGCATCCGGCCTCACGTGGTGGATCGTGGAATCCACCGCAGGGCCTGGCACGCGAGCGATGGGCGCGGCGATGGGAAGGGAGCGTGAGCCTTCTAAGATAGCGTTCCCGAAAAGAAGGACCCCAAGAGAAACCGCTCTGTGGTGCTGTATTCCCTGCGGTCCTCCAAAATCTCAGTAACCATCAAGCTAGTTAATCCAGTTGCCACTACACAAGCTGCCAAGCGCTAGTCAGTCAGTTTGCATGGTGGAATCGAAGTGATCTTGCATGAATGTCCTCAGATAAAGTTGGCTGTCCACAATCTGTCTATCCAAACATGGACAAACCTCAGTCAGTAGGCACTATAACACCCTGGGACTTGTACATCCAAAACTGCAACTATAGTAGTATGATGTAGTATGGCAATGTTTAGAGCAAGCATCACCCTTCTCGGTTCCTATCAATGGGGAAATCGAAGATTCTACAGGTACCTGGAAACTGCACCAAGACTGGCTCCGGATCAGCAGACTGACCCGGATCCGAGGAAATGTGTCAAAGAAGATTCTTCCAAGAGAAGGTTCTGGAAAGGGAAGAAACAGAAGAGATTTGTCCAACAGATGCTAGAACTGAACACCCTGGAAGGAGAGCCTTTCTTTTGAGAGTTTTGTTTTTTTTTTACATGAAGTTTCCAACTGGCCATGCGGCCGAACGGGGAACTCCGGTTTTTGCTCGCTACAGCGACAGCGCTTTTTGACAGGGCTCTCCGAGGTGCGGCATCTCGGGGGGCCCGAATCAGGTCGGTGAAGCTTGCAGGTCGATGGCTCCGGTTTCTTGGGACACACACCCGTCGATGGCTATGGCGGTTTCAGAGTAGATGGCACAGTCGGCCCATGTCTGGTCGACCATCGACAGATAGGGGGTTCCGTAAACCACCGACCTGATGGTCCACCATCTCTCTCACTTCGATTGGAGCAACGTGCCAAGACTCACTTTGACTCAACTCTTTGCACCCATTGCTATGTGCACCATCTATCTCTCAATCCTCAGAAACACTTGTTCAAGCGCTTTTTCTCGCCCTTTCAGACTCGAAAGATCCCCGGATCGGCGACAGCCACGGCGGCGAAGCCAAGGAGAAAACGTTCGGTGAAACGACCGGACGTTCGGCCGGACCTGGTGGGTGTTTTGGGTGCAGAACCGAAGAACGGTCCCTCCGGAAAAACGCGCGCTTTCCATCGGCCAGGACGACGGTCCGGAGGTTCTTTTTTCGGATCGATCTCGGAGTGGACGGCGAAGGCTGGCCTGGACCCAAAGGCTTCCCCAGAGACATGGAGTTCTCATCGATGGGGGTGGCCTTGTCCGAGAAGGACGACCTGAGGCAGAACGGCACTGGTCCTGAGTCTTCAGGCTCTTTATCCACCCCTTTCTGCGCATGCGCAGCGTAGGCTGCACCGAACTGCACCGATCTAGACCGATCTGTTCTGCACCAAGGATCCACGTGGAGGACGCTCTGGAAATGTTCGACCTGGATCGCCACGAGGATCGCTCCGCTCGCTTCCATTTGGAAGTGTTTGGGTATCGGATCAAGTCTGACCCGCAGATTCAGATGGGAGAAACCACCTGGTAAGTGAAGAAGCCAGCAGTTCTCGTGAATCATACTCTTTGCCCAGCATCACGAGGTGGCAAATGAAAAAAATGGCAGGATATCTGAGTCGCTTGCACCCAGCCAATGTCAAAGAACAGTCGGCCAACGAAAAAAAACATCCCTCCAACTCGTGTCCATGCTTTTGGTTGCTTGACATGACTAATCCATACGAATCCCCTATTCTTCCAGCTTCCAATCCATCGCCTTCCATCGCCACCAACCTCCACGATCGGGTCTCCACCTCCTTCTCGGTGCCCGGACAAGGACTTGTTGGAACGGAAGCGCGCGCGGTAGCCCAGGGACGGGCCACCCAAGTCCACACCTCGTTGGTTCACGGACAGGTGGAGGCTCCGGAGGGGAAGGGGGGTAGTTTGGTAGCAAGGGAATAGTAGGAAGGTCGTTTGGGTCGTTACAGTAGGAAGGTCGTTTGGGAAGGGGGGGGTAGATACCACTAGCAGGGATCCTCGGGAATTTCTTCGGCCCAATGGGATGGACATGGAATTCCCGGTTTTGGATGGGCGATGTTGGGGCGCCGGTGCGAAGAATCACGCAGCTGATTGGCTGACTGAGGAGGTATGCCTTATAACTTATAATAAACAATGCAACGTGGCTACAAACCAGGAGTTTCTCAACAGTTGCTACGCGGTACACGTTGCCATGTTTTGGTTGGTCTCTTGGCCTCTGGTCCGGACCGTGCGCGTTTTGTGGGGGGCACTAAAGGTCGGTTCAGGTCCTCAGGTGCTTTTGAGGTTACAAAGCTCTGTTATCCCTGCAATGATGGAAGTGGACAACCGCCTCTGAGCCTCTCGGTAGAGGAAAACCGTCGTCCAAGTTGTGCACTTCCATGATTGTTGGAGAGGGAATACCTCCTTTGCCACCCTCTTTTCTATCTTTCAGAATTGGCTTGCGTCGATGGTGAATCTCTATGTTCTTCCTGCAAAGACATCGACCATTCATTAGCACATGTATATGTATATATAATGCCAGGACAGGACCCCGTATAAGGGGCTTCTATTGATAGCCTCTTGGATGTTAAGGGGTGTCCATGTCTACCACCCCGACAGTGGGTCCTCGTACATAATATATACTGTATATATATATATAATATTAATAATATGTATACATTTATATACACATATAAATATTGGCTTGGCGCCTCGCAGAAGTATTCTGCAAGTCTGTGGTCAAATACAGATGTGTCATTGCAACGTAAGCTTGCAGAAACCTTGCCGAGCATCCAGGAATACACCGTCTCAAAAGTGTATGTCTTGAAATTTCACGAGCAAAAAAGCACCAAAAAGGATTCGCCAATGATTGCAGTGCACACATTCCGAGGACTACGCGTGCAATAAGATCTAAAGCCAAGTTAGTGCACAGAATCAAAAGCCAAGCTTGTGCTGGGAAAGACCCCTCGCTCTCTCCAAACCCGACCGGCTACGTCTACATCCACACCCCGTCCGGAATGTAGGACACACCCCACGAGCTTCCCGTACAGGTCAAAGAGCTCATTTTACTGGAGTTGGCCAAGCTCAAGCTGTTAAAGTGCCGCTCAAGAGGTGTTAACACGCCACTCGGTTTAAGCGCCAAGCTTTACTGGGTCGGACCGGTTCGCCAACCATGTGCGCTCCAAAAACGGAAGTCCGTCCCCGATCTTTTGAGCATCGTCCGTATCGATGTTTATTCCTTTGGGCCTCCCGGCTTTGATACTCGTCGAACCTGTGCACATTGAACCATCAGCAGTGCTGAAGAAGCACACATACCGGAAGTTGAAGCACCTAGTTAGGACCTACCCATGGAGATGAAGATGAAGCAAATGGACCCGCAATTCAAACGTGCCCCGGACCTCAAGTCGTCGGTCATTACGAGGGGGAAGTCTGACAGCAGAAGATGGAAAGATCTTGAGAATGGCCTTGATCACCGCGTGTATCCCACCACTTGTTGTCCCTCCGCTTTGGAGCGCAGCGCATAATTTTCCTGAACGCAGGTTCACCTGAATCGACACAAGAACGTGTCAGTTGGTTTTTTGGGTGACATTCCCACCTCAAATTCACATCCTAGAGAGAGTCAACCTCAATGGATGGATTGGTTGCTGAATTTATGTGGTCTTCCGTGCAAACATCAGTCTAATCATATCTAATCTTCCATAATCACTATCAAGGCTATTGGCACCAAGAGGCCAAGTGGTGGTTTATACCGAGGCTTTGCCTGAAAAGTGAGACCGTTCCAAAGTGATGCACGGCCTCACTTTCGATCCTTTTGTTCTGCGAGCTTGCACCCTCGAGTCAAACCATGGCATTCCAAAAACCACAGTGGCAGAATGCCCAGTGGCACAATTCGCGTTCCATGATGCGAGCCAGCTGATTTAGGGATCCGAGCAATCTCCCGTGGAATCCAGGGAATAAACGTCAGAACACTGGGAGTCTTCGAGCTCCATTCTACTGCGCCGCCAGTTGCCAGGGACCACCGGCCGTGACAAGAAGAATTGGGCCAATTGCCTGCCACCAGGTAGCCTCGGCAGGCGGCTGGTTACGAGACAAAAAACACGTCAAGGATTTCTCCCTGCAAGCATGTGGGGAGCTCAAAAGCATTCAAAAGCTAAAAGCATGAGTGTTTATAGGTGTTTACAAACCGAGTGTGCCAGCCAGCAACTTCAACGTACCACGGATTCCCAAGACAGCAAAGAAGAGCACCATCAAGAAAGAGAGGTGGTACAACATGGCCAGGAAAGCAAACATGGCTTTGCCCCACAAAGAGCTCAGCTCCACCAGGCCAAAATAGAATACTGTCACAATCTTTGCCATCACGCTGAGCATGAAACATCTTTCATCGATGGAGCGTCTCAAAAACAAATACACAAAGGCAAGCCTCGCAAGGATTGATGTGCTTTGCGTTAGGAACCAAACTGTAGAGACTCCTGAAATTGGATGACCTGCTTCATAAAGCAAAAAAACATACTGCCCCAGGAGCCCACAACCCAGGAGTAGCAAAGGCCCTAGCACAAGCGCAGGAATGGCCCATTGTACCAAGCCCGCATACCAAAGTTCCACTCCCTCCAAGTATGCGGCTCGAAGTGCATCTGATGTAATACCAGCCTTTGACAGAACTTGGATTACTTCGTCAACTTCATCAATCTGGTCACCAATCTCATTCCGAATGTTCATTTCGTCTCGACTTAGAGAGCATCTCGCGTAACGAACTGATTGAAATTGGTGTTGCAACGCTTCTGCCTCTTCCATTTCTGTTTGGTAGTTCACACGGTCAACTTCAGCAAGCAAGAAATAGACCCACATGCAAGTACGATGGCAATACACAATCAACTGGAATGTCCACCCAGGGAAAGGAACAAATTGAAATCGTTTGCTCAGTTGTGGTGGTGTTCCACATGTGATGAACGTGGCCGAAGTACTGGCAAGGCCAACATGATTGGCAACCAAACACAGTCGCATCTGACCACAGTGTTGACTCACCAGGCTCGCAAAGAGTGCTGTCATTCCTCACTTGCCCGGCTTTAACGGTAGCGGCTTAACGCGGGGAAATGTGTTGTACAATCATATATTACAATGTCTTTTCATGCGAACGGATGGAAAGGTGTGCCCTGGCCCCGTTCTAGCTCTTAGGTTGACATGAAGCTCGCGCGCTAAAGCTCCTTTTTACCTGGTTGGGCACTTGAGCCAAAAGTATATGGCATGTACCTGTATAGCAACTATACTGGGACCTCATCCCTATTGACATTTCATATAGATTGTTTCTCACAAATTGACACCAGGAAGCAGATTTCAGGATGCTAAAAGGTCACTCAATCTTGCAAAATGAGATTCTCATGTACTTTAGGAACAGATCCAATTGCCCCACTTTGAACAAAACGCCAACAATGAGGCCTATCAGCAGCGTCGGACACATCCTGAGCCATGACCACACAGCTTCTCGCCAAATGGAAGGCGTAGCCGTCCGAATGATCTTGTTACTTTCAAAAGCTAAGTAGGCTTCATAGCCACACCACAACCTTGTATAAACACTCTTGTGCCGGTTGGGCACCACCAACATGTACTTGGAGCTCTGCAGTGCAAGTGCAAAAGGAGACATTGATGGGGACTGAAGCAAAGTGCCAATGTCTAAATTCTGTGGATTTGCAAGCATACAGCACCAAGCATGGCGTGCACGCCAAGGCCAGGATGACAGCACTTTATCGGTGAACTCAAACACATTTTCCTGCCAAGCATGAGTAATAAACAAATCGCAGTCAAGTCCATCAGGATTCATCATCAATGCCCAGCTCATTTTGCCAGCAGCCGCCGTGACGGGCTTAATGTAGTGTTCATTGACTGCATAGATACTTGGCCCATACGAAGCCTCGAAGTTCTCCTGAAAGGTCTGGTTATCGTGGATGGCCCTATGGACTTCAGACCGGAAGAACTTGAGATCCGTGAAGGTGATGCACCACCTTGCTGGGTGCACTGTTTCGTGCAAGCCAATGGCTGTGTCAGCGACACCCCGATACCAAACTGGCTCCGTCTGGAACCGCCGACGACCATCCAGCATCGCAGACATCAGCAGAGGTTCTTGTGTGTATGTCTATAAACATTATACTTATACAATTGATTGAAGACAGGTGTATATATAGTTATACAGCAATATATAGACTGACATTATATACACTACTGATATACTGTTCTGTCCTCTTCATCCACACTTCCAAGACATACGAAACACAGAAAGAGATTGTCTGAGAAAAATTAGGGAGACCTACGAAATGGTTTTCTGGACCTCTGCAATGCTGTCAACATCTTCAAAAGTTCATGAATCCTGCGACCTGGAGGCCACTTCATATTGAAATAAGGGACGATGGGATGTTCACCAGAAAATCAACTCGAGCCTGAGCGTCTTTGTGGTTTGCTTGTGGAGAACACCGGTCTTCCTCCCTCGTGGTGGCCATTCCAGTCTTTTGGATCCGGTCAGTTTGGTGAGGACGATCCGGGGATCCTTCCAACCCTCTGAGCTTTGCAGCGTTCGTTTAACATGCGAAGCGCAGCACGTCAAACACCCAGGAAATCGAGGTCCATTCAGCTCCATTTCAGGTCCCCTCGGTCCTTCGGGTCCCGCATGGCTTGGCCCGTTGGACGCGCTTGGCTTTCACCCCCCGACCCTCAGTCGAAGCTATCGATTCACAATATGTCCTTTGTATTTAGACCCCGACTGGATGCACGGACTTGCGGACTCGCTCCCACACCTCCCCTTACTCACAGGTGGAGTGGGTGAAGGTGGTGATGTGAAACAGGGGGATGACCTATCTGCACTACAACCATATGTACACTACGACGAAAAGTGTTGCTTGCATGAAAAGGAAAGAAGAAATTTTGATTTGGAAAATGTCTGAATGTGCTTGACCACCCATCTGAATGTTTCTGCAATGTTCCTCAATGAGCGTTGGGCAGGGGGCTGCATCTGTACTTTTGGATCATCAATGTGGTATGCCCGCCAGCCTTTATCAACTCGAATTTTTATCGGTAGAGTTTGTCCTGACCACAGCATAAATGAGATGGCCATTTCAACCCATGAGATACCAACATCCGAGCGTGAGGGGTTTGTTGTTGCAGGTGGCCACTTGAGAAGGGTGAGGAATTGCCATACCAACCTAGCAATATTGATACCCCAAGTGCATGCCCAGAAGACCGTTGGGTGTGGCTCTGGGGGTATGGGATGTGTATCTGTGGATATAACCCATTGTGCATTCTTTTGGAGCCTCAACTGTAGAGCGGTACTCGGTAGGGCCTCATCGTGAGGTGCATTGAGATGTTCCGGGTACCCGCTACCAAGTCAAGGCAGCCTGTCGGAACTGCTGCTATCACGAGGTGAAAAGTCAAAAGTTAAGGCCCCCGGCCCCCGTTGCCCGAATCCGTCCCTCCCTTCTGAAGGAAAAACCCCTGGATTTTTTCTTCTCCGTGGCATCAAAAGCCGGCCTTTTATTCGACCAATCCAAACAAACTCCTAGCAAAGGAGTCCCTAGAAACTCGAAGGAATCTTGACAATTTCCTACGAGTGAGCCTTTCTAGCCAACCTCCAACCACCCAACCCAGGTCCCGCCTGGCCAGCAGCACCTTGTGTTGCCGGTCGAAGCGCCGGCAATAGCCTCAGCTCACCCGCAGACCCCGCAGGCCACCACCGGCAGCGCCGGTCATGATCAGCTGACGTTTGGGCTCAGCCGCTCAGCCGCTTGGACTTCTTGGGCGGAGGAAAGACATCTTGGTAGACTTGAGTGTCCAAGCTCTGAAAGTCCTTCTTCGCATCCACCACGCCTGGCATGCAGAAATGATGCGCAAACCCCTCCTCCGCAAACCCACGCGGTGAGGAAGGGGTGTTGGAACTGGTGGAGGCATGAGAAGTCCGACATGGTGTTACTGGAGATGTTACATGTTTCATAACACATGTTGAAAGTTGGCCGAAGAAACATTCAACATGTTGTTCTGAAAAGCCATGGAACATCTCCAGTTTCTTGGAGTCTGAGGGACGTCAGGTCCAGGTGTTTGAGGGTTCCCTCATGCTGCCAGACAAATCTTTTAGAAGCTGCCGGTGAGCATCGACCAGGGAAGTCCCATGCTTTCTCAGGGTCCGTACTTGCATTGCACAGGAGATGTCTGAAGAAGTCTCCCTTCAAGCTCCAGTGTGAGCAATACTCCGTGATAGGAAGTGGTTAGACCAAGACTCTAGACTGTTCATGAACTGTTCTGCTTTGCACCAATCACTCCCTGCAAAGGCTTGGAGAGAAAATGCCGCAGTCTCGCCCGACCTCATAGACAGGTGTGTGTGTGTGTGTGTGTCTGTGTGCACTCTTGCGCCGGTTAGCAGCGGCATACCCAGACAGATTCCGACCTTAGGTTATCTTGTGAAGCCAAAGCCACCGCACAGTGAATTTGGGCACCTCCAATTCCCCCCAAAAAGGTCGGCAGGAACCGGATGCCGACAGGAACCTGTCTTGACTGGCTTTGACCCAGTCGGCCCGACTGGTTCTGTTGATTACCGTTCCGAAAAAGACCCCACCAGGTTCCTCACCCCGTTCACCCCGCTCACGTCGCTCGGAACCACCGCTCCACGAAGACTCGTGTCATTCACCGTTCCGACGTCGTCGTGTAGCGAACCAGCCGCTCGGGGCGGCGAGTCGGGGGCGGCTTGCGGGCGGGGGGGGTGATGAGCCGGGATGAGCCGGAATGAGACTTCTTGTGGTTAGGCAGAGTACGTCGCGAGAAGGAATTGTTGTAAACATCATCAACATCAGAAGTATATCTAAGTAAGTATCATAAGAATGTTCCATTGATTGTGCTATGGTTATATGTTTTTTGTATATATACTAGCATCAAACACCATTATGATATTGATCGGCCTTTTTCATCCACACATCGACCATTGTGCAGGACACCTGGAGCCTACCAAACGTGCAACCCTCAAAACCTTGGATTGTCCTCAGAAGCCGGGAAATGCCTTGTAAAAAAAGAGGGGATGCACTCAATGCACCCATCCTATCAAGCAAAGCTTTCAAGAGAAGTGACAGAATTCTCCCAGGAACACCGCGGTGTTCCCGCACCTTGCTGCACCTTGGAGCTTCGCAGCTTCACCTCCGGGAAAGGAAAAGAAACACACACTTAGTCATAGACTTTTCAGTTAACTCAACTCCACGGCGAAATGGATGAGGGAAACGTAAGGTGAAGCGGTCAGAACAACTGAATTGTTGAACAATCTGCTCACTTGTCTGCGGGCTGTGGCAAGCTGCAAAACGCGGCATAAATGGTTTATGGGAGGTACAAAATCGTGAGAAACAACCATGGAAACAACGAACAGCGGCCGAGGGAAACCAGTGGAGTCAGTGTGTTCAGCGCAGGTACGTCCAGAAGGCGTCCCTTCCGGATATCACCGCGGTTCAAGGAGTGTCTTCGTTGAGTGGTGGCTCCAAGACCGCGCACCACTCCCCTGCTTGATTGAAGTGAGTCCCACGCAGAACTCTTAGAAACAGAGGTTGACACACACACACACACAAGCGCACAGATCTTAGTACAGTAATTAGAAAGTAACATGGTGTGTAGTTGGAGTATCACACCACATATCTGTGGTGTAATTTTGCTGAAGTATCAGGTTATGACATGGTGTGATACTCCAACATATCCGGAAAAGAAAGAAACAACAAACACACACACACACACTCACACTTCCGCAAGCAAAAAGCCTGAACCCTGAGCCCATCCTCCGAAGACACGAGGGCGAAAGTTGGAAAAGCAAAGCATTGTGATTTGTTTGCGCGCCCTTTCATCTTACAAATACAGCATTCATTCACTCAAAGCCTCTGTATCGATCTATCAGGCAATTGTTCAAAACCCTGCGTAAAGTGACAATGGGTGCTTTAGGCGTCAATCCTGCATGCAGGGGACAGCACTGGATTTCTCATGTATTCTCACGCTGTCTACACGTCTATGGCAAGACCTTGGGGAGGTCCATCATCACTGAACTGAAGAAACGAGGTCCAATGCCTTCTCTAAACGGATCAGCTTCCATTGTAGAACAAATTCGTCTGGTCCGAATCAGCAAATGAGGGGATGGTGAACTTCTGTGCTGTCCATCTGGGCACTCACTCTACATCATTCTACTCTCCGATTTCGCGCCCTTCTTTTCTTTCAAAAGGAGAACACTTCTCATCCCCAGGAGTTCCGCATCATCGCTCCGCAGCTCCTCCTCCCGGTGTGGCGAACAGCGCCACTGGGGTACCCCGACCCCGAGGTCTACCTTCAAAAGTCTTCGGCCAGTGACCTGGTGCGCCCGGTCGAGGGGGTTTCGCGTCCAGCACCAGGCTGGCGTCCTCCGCCCCAGCCTTTTGGTTCGAAGTGTCGTCAGCATGGATGGGGGCTCTGGAAGCTAGTTCCGATCAAACATGTTTGACCAAGCATTGACATGAGGTTCTTTCCTTCAAATTCCCTAGAATGGGATTCACCGTGTTGAAAGACAATAGGAAGCACCGAGGTAAAATCAGGGAAACACGGCTAACTGTGATCCTGAAACATGAAAAGTTAAAACTAAAACAGGCCAGTCTTGGATGTTTTCTTTTGCGTGAGGTTTTACCCATGGAAGTCGGTGCGTGAAACGGACCTGTTTGTTCGAGGGGGGTTTGGGTTTGCTGCGGGATATTTTTTGCCATCATGTGGGTCTTGCACAGGTACGGGGGCGAACACATGTCAAGCAGTTTGACGAAGCCTTGTGCGGGTACCCGATATCACTCAAACCAGTGCTTGTTCAATTGTCAAGGAACATGTTTTTGGGCAGTCCAACAAACCCTACACAAAAGCACCAACTTCCAAGCGACAGGCCCACAGAAACAACAATTTTGTTTGGTTTCTTTGCGGCGAGCGAAATGCCACATGCCCAACCTGTCAAATCCAAGGAGGACGGGACAGCCTCCCTTGATTGGCATATGGTGTCGGTCTGGCCTTCATGAAGCAAAGTTCACCGCAGTGCTGCATCTGAACAGATGCTTCCAGCAACGACCCTTTCCTTGTGGGAGACTGCAGCAACTGTAAATGCCTAAGCCCACCTTCGCTCCAACTGCCCGAGCTGGCCAATGGGTTGAGTAGGGGTCCAGGCTATATTGGTTTTGGGGCTTCACTTTCAAAACATATCAAAACAGCACGTTCCCCCACCTTCGGCTGAGGTGACGAAAGATGACACAAATTTGAGCGAAAGTTCCTGAACTGAGCCTTTGTGCCAGAACCGCTGCGGCATTGCTCCCCCTGCCCTGCGTGCTCCCCAATCGCCATCAAGCAGCAGGCTTGCTGATCCAGTCCAGGCTTTCGCAGAACCTCGTTGCAACACGGCTTTTACGTCCCAGCGGCACCGCTTGGCACGGTTTGGGGGCAGCTCGGCCGCTCGGCGCCGTGAAGATCTGAAGTCACCGCGGCGCTGCAAAGCTTCATTTCTGACCGGGCTCCGAGGGGGCTTAAATACACCTCCGTGCACTGCAGAGAATCATGCCCTCCAAGTCTTTTCACGGCCTTTCTTCTAAAGGCAGCAACTCAAACACACAGTGATTGGTTGTATACGGAGCATCCTGTAGACAACATCGGGCTAAAAGTCCAGACCATCCTAGCTACCGGTCTCATTTGTTGAAAGAACTGAAGGAGACCTGGAATCGGAAAGACAAAAAACTCGACTCCCAAGGAACCCCAAGTGGCGCCAATGCTTAGGCACAAGAGTGGCAAAAGGAATAGTCCTTATTTGACCACGTTCGACTGTTTGCATGGCTGCTGTCATCGTTGGAGTACCAAAGGGGCCGCAAAAGAGCATTTTTGGAAGGCACCAGACTCAAACTCCAGTCACAGAGGAGAGGCAGCGACCTGCAATTCAGTGCTTCAAAGTTCAGGGTCACTCGTCGACTGAGGAATGTATGTTTACCGTGTCAAAAGGCCCCAGTTCCGATGGCCCAAGGACGTGGCCGTACCCGATTCAGCCCCATGGACATGAAAGCAACAGGGTGACAGGGTCGACACTCGACACCCACCGGAGGAGTTCTTCGGCTCCAACGACAGTTGGACCTGGTTCCCCAAAAATCCTTTCAGCCCACATACAACCCCCTGGACCTTCTTTCGGGGTGTCCTGGACCTGGAGATCCCTGTACCTAGTGGGCTGGGGCGAAACCTTTGCCAGCCTGACCCCGACGTGCTGGCGTTCGTGTTCCCAAGACCATAGCACATCGGATGTGTTGCTCGAACCGGTCCCCCTTTGAAAGGACAACAGTCCAACGGCTTCATCCCATCCATCGGCATCCCAAAACCGGGCTTTAGGATGAACGAGCGAGAGCACGTTGGCTTCGTGTGGATTCGACGAACGTCCATGGAAACCTGCCTTTGGGAATCAGAGACAGCGAGACAGGGCAAATCGTCCTGGTGGCTAGCTCGCAAATTGCTTGGTGAGACAGAATGGCTATGTGCTCTGACTGGGGACCATTAAGGACCATGACTCATGGACTAGAAACCCATGCAAACCCCTTATTTGTAAAGGAAACTCGTCTTCCATGAGGCATGGCCCACTTCCATGCTTGCTGGAGGACGCGTAAGGGCCAGGGTGCTTCTTTCAGCATCTGTCAACTGGAAATGGATAGAGGTCGCCTTCCTTCCCTTAAAGCTTCTTAAGCCACACAGCCCAAAATCACGGTCCAAAACCGCGTCCTTTAGCTGCTTCATGGAAACACACGTGACTGATCAAAAGCCTTAACAAAGTACATGAAAAGTACAGAAAGTACATGACAGAAACACACGTGACTGATCAGGGAAAAACGTTCCAAGTCTTTTCGATGCGTCACCGGGTGGCACGATCCTCGTATGTCGCGACCACGGCCCGGTCGCTCGGGTCCGCGCGAGGTCGCGACCCACAGAAGAGGACGGCCGAAAGACCCTGGACCCCCAGTTCCCGTTCCAGTGGCCTTTCTGCTTGCTTGGAGGAGTGCAAGATTATCCGGTTTTCCATCTTTGGGATCTGAGATCTCTTGTATCCAAGTGGAAGTTGCAAGTGAGGGATATAACGCTCTAATCGCTTGCACCTCCGGAGACGTTGGCTCTTTCCGGAGGCGTGAGTTCTTCTGCCGCGCTGCTCGTCAAAGTCCACAGTGCCGGCCCCGTCGAGATCGAGCCTCAGTGGCAGTTTGGATCCGGGGCACCCAAAGAGTAACAAGTTCCACGCTAGTAGTAACAGGTGCCTTACTAGTAGTAACAAGAAGCTATTGGTTTAAATTGTACCAGGACCGTCCAGGAAGCAGCAGCTACTCTTGATTCCTGCTGTAGGTCGTGGGTTGATATCTACTGCATCCCATGAATTCCAAATGTTATGAAACCCCTTGGGGTCCCTCTTAATCCTGCTTTTTACTGTTAACATCAACGTCAGGGGTTGGAACCATCTGCTCATATACATTTCTGTCCAGCAAAGCCACTCGCTTGACCAAGCTGGAACCCAGTTCCGGACGAAACCCGGATCTGGATCTGTTCGAATCCTCTTCCCTGCCTTCCCACCGACATCCCCTGCCTTGATCCGACCCAGTGGCAAGTCAAAGAGGTGCTTGATATCTTCCAGATGAAGCTTCACTGTCTGGGGGTGGCCGCGTGGCTCCGACCGGCCAACATGCGGAACAGTGGCTTCGCACGGCTTTGTTTCAGGCGTGGGAAGCGGGTAGCGTGGGGGGGTGGCTTGGCACCAAGCACAATGTGACCCACTGGATAATGGCTGGTCTGGTCATTTCTCACAGGAAAAAGATCTGATACTCACCTTATAGATCACCTGTGCCAACACGTGCACCCTCGACGCCCGCGGTCACCAAAATCGACGTCAGGGGAAGTCCGAAACGCAGTGTCGGTCTCAGAACTCGACGTCGGGCACCTGTTGTAGGCGCTTCACCTGAAAGGGAGAGTTCAAGATCTCCAGATACACCGAGCGTCGCCTCGGAAGCGCCGGTCACGTTCCCGAGGACCGAGAAGTTGGGACGGACCCAAAGAGAACGATCGAGTTGGACCGAAGATCAAACCGTGTACCGAAACCAAAAACGAGAAACAGATGGTTCCAATATGACTTGCTTGAAATCCTTGATTGGGGGAAAACATCCCTTGGTTTCCCAGGTAGCAGTTGGTGCCGGAGCTTTCGAACCAGGTCGGAGGTCAGACGAAAGGCTGTCGTGTCGGGTCGAGCCACACTGCCTGCCTTCATCCGCCACCCGCACCCTCCAAATGCCCCATGTACTTCCCCCCCAAAAAAGCATGAGCTATCGCTCAAGAATTCGGGTACCCCCCACTACCCTCCAAAATCCTTGGAAGAACATGTTCTTTCAACCTGCCAGGGGGAACAGGTCGAACATTTTGGGAGCCCCAAGACCACTTTCCGAGAAGGTCACCTGGTGTTTCACCCGCTCAGAAGGTTCAAGTGCCACCCCCAGGTCGTCTTCCACCCGCCTCAGCGGCTTTGGACCCTTCGGGTTTCACCTAAACCCCCCCGAACTCCACCGAGCAAGCGGACCCCCCGAACTTCACCGAGCTACAGCTTGCCGCTGCCGTCCGGGTCCGCCGCGGCGAAGATCTGGGAGAGGCTCCTGCCGTCGGGGTCAGATCGCTCGGCCCGAGTTGGGAGAGGTTGAGCCCGCTGCCGTCAGTGGAGGAGGACCCCTCATGATTCAACATGTGATATGACATCCCAACTAAGCACCGAAGTCTTCACCACCTTTTGGCTCTTGGCACCTTCTGTCGTCTCGGCCACGGCAGCTCAGCAAGAGGCCTTTACCGCCCGTGTGGCCGGGGGGCGTTTTAAAACATCGCTCGCTCGCCGCACCGACGTGGAAGCCGGGAGCAACGACACTCGACGTTTGAGGGGCAAACGAGTGAGCTGTGCGATGTAGCACTGGAGGTGCCGATCCGGGGTGGGCAGGTTGATTGCTCGAAGTATGACGGAATCGCAAGGGCGGCCAAGGGCCGACCGAGTTCGTGCAATCCTTGCAACTGGCCATGCTGTTCTTCCAACACACAAAACTATAGAATGAATGAATCAACAAACCAAAACCGGAGAGAGGCCAAATGAAGACATCGCTGCTGCGCGCTGAAAAACAAAAACATACGAAAACGTCTTTGGTCTCCTCACAAGGTTCGAGTGTCGCACATCTTGTGCCACTTCATCTTCCTGCTCCTGTACCTCGAGCGGAAAGGACCCGGAAAGGAGGGGAGAAGAGACACCACTGGCAGCGCCTAAGCCATTGAAGTTGATGGGTTGGATTTGGTTGCATAGTCTTGCTGCGCCAAGTAAGTACATTGAAAGGGGCAAGAAGACCGACTTTAGTCTATAGTGTTTAAGTTTAAGGTAGAAAGACATAAAGCAGCAAGGTGGGTGACTGGCTTCTATGCAGGTTGGGAGCTTGAATCCTCAGCTTCAAAATGCGTCAGGCGAGTTCGGGTTCCAATAAATCCCAATGGAATCAATGGAATGGGGACATCAGCACCATATTTCATCATATTTCCCTGTTCCTCACAGCCAAAAGCAGGCGCTCCAAGGAACCAAAAGCTCAACAAAAGTTCTTGGATCTCTGAGAAGACTTACTTCCCACCCAACCAGGGGACCGGACCGCCTCTCCCATCCCGACGCGTGGCCCTTTTCCGGGCCCTTTTGGCTTCTGCTCGACGCTGCTTCGGTCCCTTGAGGCCACCGCTCTTGAGCGGCCTCAGGGCGTTGAGAATCCCAGCCAGTGGGGCTTTCAGAAAGAAATCAGTACCGGCACCCTCCAACAGGTGCTTCCTGGTGACAACAGGTGCCCAGAAACCACCTGTTAAGGTCTCCAAACAGCCTGTTGGAGGGTCCTGGTAGTGTTTGTCATTGCTTCTCATGTCGTCCGATGCGCCTCGACATCAAGCCACACTGCGGGCACCATCTGCAACCATCCGGTTTGGAAACACCTCCGATCCATCACAGCTGAGCATGCCACGGCCAGTGGGCCCCAGCCGGTTGTGCCGTTGGGGGAAATCCTTCGGACATGCAACTGGTAAGTTTGAAGGAAGATGTGATCTTCTCCTCAAGAATAGAGTGTTCAAAGACTATGTTGAAGCAACATGAAGTGTTCATACTTTCATGATCTTTTGTACCTACCACCTGCTGCATGTCCTCTTTCCTTGGCAGGCCAAGTTCTAAACCCACCTTTCCAAGCTTCATTGCTTGTCCGTGGCCCTCAAACCCTTAAATGTAAAAACCATCATTCAGACATCTTCAGACCACTGCAGCCTCCGTTTTCTTGGCGGCGACCAAACCCCAATAAACCCCATCCCCGACCGTTCGACAGCGATGGCAGATCGCACGGGTATACCGGTCTCCGCCGGACGGCTCGTACTCGGCTCGCCACTCGCCGGGGGGCGGAGGTGAGCGGCTGGACGAGCGGCCGTCAGGGAGGAAACAAGCTCTTGAGGGACTTCGGGTCCACCCCGTCGAGCGTCAAAAACACCTGCCGGTGGCGGTGGAGCAGGTCGGTGGAGCAACAAGGTCGGTGTGGACAAGGTCGGTGCGGCAGGAGCACCCCACCGGTCGGTGGAGCAGGAGCGGTGTGGACGTCGGTGGGTCTCCACGAGCGAACTCGGTTGACCGGTGAAGCCTCAAAACCTATGGTTTGACCCACGAAGCGAGAGAGCAAAACCTGAGGTTTGGGCGAATTCAAGGTAGGAAGTCATACAAAAAATGTATACATTGTATTTTTTTAGGACGTTGATCTTCACTCCATTTCACTCAGACCTCGCAGCCCATGCCCTCCGAAGCGCACCCGTCCAGCTTTGACTTTGAAGTCGATGTGAAGCTCTCTCAAAAGCTCCTCGGAACATTGGTGGGGGGCACGTTTGGGGCAATTCCCTATCAACAGTCATCAACCAATCGCTGTGGAGAACGATCACCGGAAAATGGGTCCAAATGGAGAAGACAGGTGAGACATCGGATAACCAGTTCCCACAATCGGGTGTTTCTACATGTATCGGATCACTCGATCAATGCCAGCTGCATGATGGACCTCTTGAACGCCAGCCGTGCGCCGGCGCGCCACCGACGAGGCTAGACCCAGTTGATCGGAACAGTTGACCACGCCCAGTTGACCGCACAGCACTGCACAAAGGAAACCCACCGGCCAAAACACAGGTCACATCTGACTCAAACCATCAACATCTGACTCAAAGAGAAGAAAAACCACTTGCTTCACCCTGAGGACGACCTCCAACTCAGTCGGTGGTTCCGGGTCCTCCACCGCTGGCCGCACACGCGCGTGGGTACCCGCCGACTCCGCTCGTCGAGAGGACGGGCTGTGGAGCTCTTGCCCTGGGGGTCGTGGCGCAGGGGGCGAGTGAAGGAGACTGGCGATGGGTCAGTGTTCCTTTCGATTGATGTAGGCGACTGGCTCTTGAACGGCTTACTCCATGCAGTGCAGCTGTACTGGCTGTTTGAAGTTCAAAAGCTGTTGGTTGAGGAACTGTTGAGGACTAAAGGACTCTTTCTTTGGAGACTCACAAGGTTTGTCGGAGAAACTCCAAGTGCTTCTTCTGAGAGCTTCCAGTAGGTGTGCGGAGGCCTTGGGGGTCGGCCCACGTGGTGATCCGTCCATCCATGCTCACCCAACAACCTTCAATGCAAAGACCCTGGAAATAGCCCCAGGCAGTCTCTTGGGTCAATGAAGAGTCACTCAGTGCTGCCAAACCCATCGAACAACTCGATCCCAGTGCTGCCAAGAGACCCACGATGATCCCAGGACGAAAGCGCTTTGGCCAGGGTCTTCGCTTTGGTAAAACCTGCCGGGCGCGCGCGAGCGCGTTGCTCGCGCGTTGCTCGCCGCCTGGGCGAAGCAGCGTTCTCTGCGCTGATGACGTCCCCAGGGGAGACGTCCTGCTGCATGAAGAGACGTGCAACTCGCGGGTGCGGGTGGTTGAGCGGCTCAAGACGGTGCAAAAGAAATACCAAAAGAAGGAAGGATTGGATTTGGATTTGGACATGGTCTTCAAAAAGGTGGTCTTTGGTATTGGAGGCACCACCATCACCCTTCAACTATGTGTGTGAAGACTACCTCCTCAACTGGAGACCCAATGATACTGCGCTTCCCGTATGTAGAAGAGCTTGTCCTACAAGTATGTTTGAGTCAGTCGACTGAGAAGTTCTCTCCCTCCCTCTCCCTCCCTCTCACTCACTCACCCTCCCTCTCTCTCTCTCTCTCGTTTCAAGGGTCTGTGTTCAAATGATTTAAAAGTTCAGGGTGGGATGAAAAGCAGTTGGGCCCCCTCATGACTTCTGGATCCTCATTGCTCTTGGAGATCCTCATTGCCTCTTGGACCTCCAAACGTGCAAACAGGATGGCCTGGATTTTGGACCTCATTTCCGACATGTATTTCTGTGACCCCGAATTTTGGCACTGAATCAAAAAGCAGATTCCCAATTCATCAGCTGAGTGGAGCCATCTTTGTCCATCCATTGGTGAACCAGTTCGATCATGTCAACTCCCTTCCACTCGATCCTGTCAACGTGACCAGCTTCGACCGGTGAGAGCACGACCGGATCATTAGCCCGGACGCTTCGCCTCCGCCAGGAACCAGCAAGTGGCCAACTTGGCGGAGCTCGCTGAGAGCTCGTGGAGGTCCAAAAGGGACTGGCCACGAAGCCAACGCGCGAAGCAAACGTGAAACCGAATCGGCGACAGATGACTTCGACCTACACTGGGATGGGCTGTTTTTGTCACAAAATTTCAGCCACGGACCGAATCGGCGCGGAACACGGCCACGTCTGGCCCAGCCGTGGTCGTGTAGAGCGACCATGAGCGACCAAGATAGAGGTGACCGCTATATATGGCCTTTGGGTCATCTAAACGAGTCCCTATTAGCCTATTCCTGGTCCGGGATATGCTTGTTCTCACATGAGCTTTTCGCACCATCAGGTCAACGAGCTCTTCAGCCAGGCATGTGGTGCGAGGACAGTTCGGCGATGCTTTTGGGTGCTTTTGACAGTTCGGCTTTGGAACGGCTGCGTCCGGAACAACCCATTGCAGAGAACACCTTTCGAGGGTGCCAGTTGCTCAATAGCATCACAGTACCAGGCTGCATTGATTTTGGATACAAAGCTTTCGCGGACTGTTGTTCTCTACAGTGGATGGTTTCTGGTGGGGACTTGGTTTCCAGACAGGGCAAAAGATAATGGGAAAAGCCCACGACCAGCTGTGGAACGGCCAGTTCGCCGTCACCGTTCGCGGTCACCGTTCGCGAGATGAAGGGCTCCAGTTGTACCTCCAAAAACAAAGGTCTTTGGACCATAGCACCCGCCCCTAGTCCCACCTTCGAATCGAAGGTAGTTGGAGCCCTAGGTCAAGGAAAAAAACTGTGACGTATCACTGGATCTTCTCATGCATTCTTGGATGAAGAGCCCCGTCTGCCTTTCAAAAGAAGCGCAGCTGGCAGGAAAAAGTAAAAAGCCAATCTGTCCTCGTACAAGAGGTTCGGGTAAATCCTGAGAAGAAAGGCTCGCAGCGTTCCGGCGTGAAAGACACACCTCAACCATCCTGTCTGGGTGTCCTGTCTGGAGGGTCGTCCAGACAGGGGACTCGTTGGATGATCTTGGTACAAGCCCTAAAAGAGACCCAACACAGTCACCGACCTCTGGTTTGGTTCAGTAGGGCATGTGTCAGAAATGCGTCTAAAGTCTAAAGTAACCAAGGAAAAAAACATGGTGAATTGGAATCCCCCAACGGCTTTTGCTCTTTGGGGACGACGACCTGTAACTCATTTGGACACCTTGTTGGTTTGCAGAGGCCAAACAGAGGGAAGTGCCTTCAAGAAGCACCATACTCAACAAGCGAGCAAACCCTTGCGAAAGCAAGTGTTTCACTCCGATTGGCTTGGGCATCTGTAAATGTTGAGACACAAAAGAAGTGCGCATTTGAGACTCTTCGCCAGTGGAATTGATTTAATTGAAAAATATCAAGCAGGTCCATGGAGAGGTTTCCCAAAGTTTGCAACATTTCTCTCGTGCTCTTCCCCTCAAGGATCCTAAAATCCCTTCTCCACTTCACACCCAGGAAAATTTGAGTAGGTCTGGATCGGTTCATTTGGGGTATCCCTTTGAGGATTTATTTTAGTGGGGAGAGGATGAGAATCTGTAGACCAACCAGTCTTCTTTGCAACTTAGGATCTGCT